CCAAACATTTCATTTCAATGTGCCTGTAACTTTATACGAGAGGATGCTTAAATCATAACCACAGAAACACTTAGCTTGGAAAAGCTCTCTAAGATCATTGAGTCCAACTGTTACCCGAGCACTGACCCATGTCCTCAGGTGCCACATTTTCAATCCCTCCAGGGATGGGGACTCCACCACCTCCCTGAGCAGCCCCTGCCAAGGCCTGACCACCCTTTCCAGCAAGAAATTCCTCCTCAGGTCCATCCTGAGCCTACCCTGGCACAACTTGAGGCTGTTTCCTATTGTTCTATCACTTGTTCCCTGGGAGCACAGCCCGATCCTCGCCGGCTCCTCACTCCTGTCAGGGAGTTGCAGAGCCAGAAGGTCCCTCCTGAGCCTCCTTTTCTTCAGGCTGAGCCCCCCCAGCTCCCTGAGCTGCCCCTCACCAGATTCTAGACCCTCATCTCCTGATTATCTATGAATCCATTGTTAAAGTGGTGGGTGGTGCACGCTAGAATTGCCTCATCTGGGCAATCTCACTTGTTTCTCCCAAGAACATCCATCTCACAACAGTCATTTACAGTGAAATGTAGCTTAACTGGAACTAAAGGGCAGCAGAGCACTGGGGACCCTCCTTAGAGGAGCTGTGGGTGAAGCCAAAGGGAGTTTGAGGAGCATGGTGCTCACAGGGTGGGCTCAGCCTGGGGGGTTGTGCTTCATCTTTGTCTGTTACATAAATCCCCCAAAACTGGATTTTTGTTTGTCTCCTTCATTTGAATTCTAAGGGATCATGTCTGCAAGTAAATTAAAGCATTATTTCTGCATGGCATTGCAGTGCAAATTGATTATATTTTAAATAAAAAATAGCACTCTAAATTTTAGCAGCCGTAGAAATTCCACCATATTTTACTATTACAGAAATTCATCATTCAGAAATTCATTTAATGAAGTATTGTAGAACATTTAGTGAACAAAAACAGTCCTTGAAAGCTTGTCTGGATTGACTTTGCTCTTCATTTTTCTCCTGCATGACTTTTCCTGTCATTTATATGGTTTTACACCAATGCTAGTTTCATAGGTATTAAACATAACTGTACTTAAAATAATTTAATTATTCCTTGTACTGAGCAGGAGATATTTAAATATAATAGAAAAATATTTTTAAAAATAGTAATTTTTATTAACTTAATATTTGTTATTCTGTAAGAAAGTTGGTGCTTCTGATTGAGATGTCTGTTTCTGAAACAAAGAACTGTGGCACAACTTTGGAAGCTGGTACATACATATGTGTCAAGTTCAAAAGGAAGTGAGCATCCAAATTTATTTCCAATACTCAGTGTTGTTAGCAAATAATATGTAGACTGTATATGAGTTGAATCCAGGGCCTGTATGATAGCTGGATTATTCATAGAGCCACTTAAATGGCATGAAAATACAGATGGATTTTGATTTTTGGCAATTAAATTACTAGATAACTTTTCTTCTACTAAAAAAACCCCTCAACAGTATTAAAGATGCATTTCTCTATGAATACTGGTTATAAATTGCATAGGATTTTTCAGATTGGGTGCTTGTAAAACAGTGTCAGTTCTCCCAGAACACACTGCAGGAGTAACAACACTACCTGTGGTTCCTGTGTCTCACCTTCTGGCCGGTGTTACACCTTAGCTGAAATAAGGGAAAAAAGAATTACAAATAGTGTGTTCTGGGTAGATTTGTAACTTCATTGTTGGAGCTTCCCCTTTGGCATCTGGTATCCTGGATATAGGTTTCCTTGCTGAAAAGGATTAGTGACAGATCTTAATTAATTTCATTTAGAAAGAGTGGAAGTGGTTCTGAGTCTTCAGGACTCGTCACCTGGACAGTCAGAATTAATGATGCCATTGCAGTGCAGAGCCCCTTTCAGGGGCTTTAAAGACTCTCTCTGGAGTACCACACTTCTTTCTGGAAGGTTCTGTATGAACAGGGTGAGGTCAGAAGCTACACCAAGTGCTTCCTTGGGAGTCCACCTGTAGCTTCTTACCTGGAGAGGATGGTCTGAGCTCATGTTTGCCTCCATGCCCTTCAGGTGCCAATGCAAGGTGATCAGTCTGCTGTCTCTGAACCTAAAGAGGAACAAATAAGATGAGTAATAAACCCAGCTAATAATAAATAGAAGAAGTAGGGCATAAAGGACAGGGTAGAATATTTTTTAAACTGAGTATCTCAACCTATTTCAGTGAGTAACTGCACAAATAAACTGTTATTCATTTTGAAGGTTAAGCTGTAATAATACCTTTAAAACACTCAAGTAAAGTTCAAATGCAATCTACTATTTATGATAAAGCATTCCCAGTGTTAGAGGCAACTCTTTCCCAAATTGATTATATTCTCTTTTGAGCAGAAGTAAGGCTCAAGCATCTAATTCAGGAAGAGTCATCCATCTTCCTTTCTGCTACTCAGACAGCTCAATAATCTAGTTTCTTCAGAAAGTCTAACTTGCCAATGGAAGGGATATTTCTTTTTCTTCAGCAATACAGGCTCTTTTTAAATTGTTCCAAGTCTGCTTAGCATTTATGTTCTTCGTAACAGGCCTTCATTTTGGGAACAAACCTCATGTGTATCAGAAATGAGAAAAGAAAAATGCCAAATGCCAAATAGGGGCATTTTAAAGATTTTTAAGGCTCACTAAAGAATTTTTTTAAAGATTTACAGATATTTTACAGGTAGTCCTACAGCTAAAAAGCTATTACCGTAACCTAGGAGCATATAGTGTTAATTCAAATTATTTTAATTTATTGTTTATGGGGTTTTTTTCTTCAGTTTATCAGTGATAAACAACTAAAAATCATGGTCATAATCTTATTGGGAACACATCCAGCTAATTGTTTAGCAAATGCTTTTGTTTTGAATTTTAAGAAACAACATTCTTCTTACTTGACTGGAATAATGATACTTTGTGCTACGGAGCAAATGCAATGTAAATGTGAACAGGAGTTAATCAAGTAATTTCAAATCACAAAATCATTCAGCATTATGATTGAATCTGTCACTGATGTCAGTCGTAACACTGGTATAACTTGGTTTTTGCGATGAACTTGGCAAGGGTACATCACTTTCTTTCCAAATACCAAGGAAGAAATGCTGTTTTCAGATTCCTAAGTGATCTGACTGTATTTTTCACAGCTAAAATTGGACATCTCAGGTGGCATTTAAATTCTTTACTGTCACTGAGTATGAACCAAATTCATTCTGGCTGAAAAACAAAAACGTGGACTTTCTTTCAATGAGCAATCCCCTTTATTGACACATTTTCATAGAATTTACCAAAAGATAAATGAACTTGCCAACATTAAGTTGCTCCTATTTTCTTCCAGATTTCCCCAAGCCATGCTGTGATCAGTCTTTTCCCAAAGAAGTTGAAGAGATGACCTTTTAATTTTTGTTCAAGTACAGAATGCTAAACTAAAGTCATAAAACCTCCGTGCATTTCAGGTGCAAAATCGCCCTGAGTCTGGCACTGCTGCTCCCAAGGCTTGAAACATAGCTTTGTGCCACGACCCAGCCAAGTGTAGCATCAAAGTAATAATGTTATAATTAGGGCAGAGGTGGCACTTTCACTTTGGACATATATTTCGGGTTGACGATACCGTTCTTCCAAAAACTCCCTTCAGGCTTCAAATTTCTCGTGTTGCTCTGTCATTTTTTAAGTTGTGAATAAAAAACAATTTCTGGTCCATCAGGAATTTGTAATTAGATTTGATTGTGACCTCGATCATCATCCAAGCCCTGTTGGGCAAGAGACGTAAAGACTTGAGATAAACAGAAACTGAGACAGAAGAGAAGGTTGTGTGGAGACCTCACAGCACCTTCCAGTATCCAAAGGGACTACAGGGGAGCTGGAGGGGAATGTTCATCAGGAACTGGAGTGACAGGACAAGGGGGAATGGTTACAGGCTGACAGAGGGGAAATTCAGGTTACATATATGGAATAAATTGTTCCCTGTGAGGGTGGGGAGGCCCTGGCACAGGTTGCCCAGAGAAGCTGTGGCTGCCCCTGGATCCCTGGAAGTGTCCAAGGCCAGGTTGGACGGGGCTTGGAGCAACCTGGGCTAGTGGGAGGTGTCCCTGCCCAGGGCAGGGGGTGGAACAGGGTGATCCTTAAGGTCCCTTCCAACCCAAACCACTGCATGATTATGTTGTCCTAAAATTTAGTACAGATTTAACTTCTGGTTACCCAACCTTGTGTCACATAAACGACCGTAATGGGGAGTCATGCATTTGATTTCATGTATTTCCAAGCTTTTCTGAGAAGAAGATTGGTGAAATGGAACAACTGGAAGAACTGAAATAGAAAGTAATTCAGTAGGATGCAATTCAAGTGTGTTAACTTGGGGATTATACATAATTTCAGGTGGAATTATGAGTTTTGCAGGAAGAAGAGCAGAATTCAAGTGAAGGAGTCACAGTGAATGATGACTGTGAAAAAAAAAAAAAACATAAATGCATTCCATAAGCTCTGTCAAACAGGACAAAAGATGTGATAATGTATGGTCAGACCACATCAACTTAAGAAGTGGTGTGACTGTAGGGTGAGAAAAGAGCCTTTTAAACGGAAAGCTGGTGAAAGTACAAAAGGCTTCCACGTGGTGTTGCTGTGTTAAGGCTGGATGTCCAAGTAAGCTTTGTGACCATTTCTGTACCTTGGGGCACTGGGAGCACAGAACACCCTTCTAAGGGATTTTTTTGAAGTACTTTAGCAATTAATAGTTCCTATCTTAGAAAACTTTGTCCTAACTTTGGGTTTACAAATATCAGCTGGAAAAATAGACCTAATGACTGTTTGTCTTTCTCGCTGCACTCACTGGCAGGAGGTGTGACTTTTCAATGGTACCACCTCCATTTGCTTGTGGCTGAAAAATATTAGCATTCCACGATAAAAAAAAAAAAAAAAGAGAGAGAGAAATATGTAGCTCTATAGTTGGTAGTAAAATAATGGTGCTGAATATGTTCAAAAATATCCATTTTCTTTTCCCTAGGCCAGACCTGTAGCTTGATGATGTGAAATGCTTCATGGTGCTTGAAGCAGCAAAATTATCCCACCCTTCATCCCCACAGCCAGAAAGAGAAAACTGACCTATAATCCATCAGAAGATTTTAATATCACAAACAGAACTGTATCATCTACTCTATCAAACAGCCTTTCCTTTAATAGAGGAATAATGGTGCTGAAAACAAAATGAACTATAAAGCTTCTGCCTGTTATAGGTGTTGCAGTGATCAACTCAGTGACCCCATGGAGGAGTTTTAGATTTGCAGAAGCAAAAAATTAGACTTCCTATTGCTTGATACCAGTGAATTTTGTCATGGGTTGGTGGAGGTTCAGAAGGGTTTTTGTTACCCCAGAAGGTCAAGCTGATCTTGACTGCTGATTCAAAGGTAAGACTAAAGGCAAGGTAATTTTGCTGAATTGGAACACTTGGTGTTACTGATGTGGCAGGATAATTTGTGATTATAATATATCCATGGTAATACGGAATGGAAAGTAGTGTCATAGTAGCCTGTGAGGTTAAGAAATGGTTGTAAACTGAACATGTAAAGTATATAGAATAACTAGTGAAAAGCACATTTAAGGGAGTTTTTATTTGGAACTTTACTTATGGTGATAATTTGGGAGATCATAGCACATTGGGGATTTTTGGTGGTTTTGTTGTTAGGAACTAAGAACTCTGCTCCTTGATTTCTCTTCCTGTTTTTATGATGGAAGAATGCAATAATTTTGGAATGATTGTTTAGAATGAAGTGGATAAAAGAATAGGAAGGGCAAGCTAGGCTACAACTAATTTGACATGTACTATGTCATAGGCCATGAAATAAAACTTTTCCTGACTCTTTCTGTCTGAGACCTTCGGAGGAATTAAGCTCTATTTAAAGATGATTAAAACTAAACTGATTTTTTTTCCAGTGGGTTTTAAACCCAGTGGCTTTTTGTATTTGTAAAATACATCAGGAAGAATCAGTTTAGAAAATATATGGACCTTCCCAGAATTGACCACAAACCCTAATTTTATTAAAGTTGTGTTAACAAACTTTTAAACTCAATATCAGCTTTCAGTATCACTGTTTGCGAAATTTTCCTAATGAACCCTGAAATGAGTATTATAACCATTTAAATTTGAATTAACTTTTGAAGGAATTCTGTGAAATTAATAGAAGAGTTGACATTCACTTCAAATAAAAGCTCTTACAGGTTCTTGGAGTCATCTTTCACTTTGGGAATAGAGCAGACATGTTTCCATTAATGTCTGAAGAGCAACACTGGTCTATAAAAGCTGGTGATGTTGCCCAGTTGAATCAGTCTTTAAATAATAAAATCCTAGAATAATATATCATTATCTTTTCAGTGAAGTCCTTTATGAGGCTACAAGATCCATACAGATGGTAGTAATTATGTCATCCTGTTCTTTTAAGATGTTTTTTTCTCTAGACTTATTTTTCACCTCTAAGCAAAACACAGAAGAATGTTATGTATAATGCATGGTCATTTAAGCAGAATATTGTCTTAGAATGGTTAGATATTCAATTATTACATACACTGTATCCTTGATAACACAGTTTAGGGAAAAAAATCAGTTAAGCAAGCAGAAGCTTTTTTCCTTAAACTCCATTCTTAAGCAACACTTATTTATTGCCCACTGTTTTCCCTGAAGTAAGGATAGGTGAAAATGCATTCGAATGAAGATAAAATTCTCATTTTAGAACCTGATATTTGGTTAGACATAACACATGTAAATAAAATACTAGAATTGTAGAAGGAGGTAGCTCAAGAAAAGATCTACTCCTCTCTGCAGTGAACCAAGAGCAAATAGAGATGTTTAACTTTATCTGATCTGTTCCTTCTGTGGAAGGGAACTCCAGAACCTCCCTTATAACCTCTTCTAGGACTTCATGGTTCTAATATTAAAGTTGTTACGTGATTTATTTCCCTTCAAGTGAAGTTAATGCCATCACCCCAGAAAGCAGAAGCAGAGCCAGGATTTCACACCTTGGTGACTGGCTGGGCACTTCCTTTTTCCTTCTTGCCACCCTTCTCAGAGCAGGACAAAGGCCAAGCCTTCTACACCACAGCTTCACCTTTCCTAGACTGAAGCTACAAAAAGCAGTGAATTTTCCTTTTGTTGACAAAAGGGTTCTAGTTAAAAGTAAAAAGCTCTTAAAATGTATCTATGGGGTGTGATTACTTCAGTTTTTTTCAAATGCAGCCAGGCCTTTGTCTAAGGGCTCCTGATAATGGCATTTGCCCTGACAATGGGACCATAGCTTTCCCCAGCAGGGGGACAAAGGAATTCCTGACAGCCAGAGGAATTCTGGTTTGTGTTTTGGTGCTATTAGGGCATTTTCTGAGATAAATAGCAGTGTGTTTCCATTTCTCATTTTGAGCAGTGCTCACTGTCTGACCTCGCTCCTGCTCAGGACTCGCAGGAGCAGCCAAGTGCTTCAGTACATCGACCCCCTCCTGCTCATATCTCCTCTATGTCTCGTATTTGAAATGCTTCCTAGAGCAGTGTGACATATACAGAACTTGTAAAAATACCTTTTAAAGTAATGTTGTTGTTTGGGGTGCCCGTGCACAGCCCAGCCCCTCAACCCCCCCACCGTGGTTCCTGGGGAATGAGTTTAAGAAAAGGGAAAAACACCAGACAGGAGAAGTATGAGGGGCAAAAAAAGGTGTGAGGAGAAGCCTTGTCAGCACCGAGGGGGTAAGATGAGGAGGTGCTACGGGAGCCAGAGCAGAGATTCCCCTGTGGCATGCGGGGAGACCACAGTGGGGCAGGCGGAAGAGGTGGGGAGGTGGAAAGAGCAGAAGAACGGAGCTGTTGTGGGGTCACCATCACCCCCATTCCCCACCTCTGCACCATTCAGGTTGGAGATGAGTCAGAAATGGAGGGGTGAAGCTGAACCTGGGGCAGGGGGGAAGTAAAGTGATTTTTGTTTCTCATCTTTGAACCCTGTAGCAACTAGAAATAAATTAATTTTCACCAAGTCAAGTCAGTTTTGCCCATGATAGTGCTTGGTAAGAGAGCAGTAAGTGTTCTCCATGTCCTTATCTTGACTCACAAGTTAATTTTGTCCCGCTCTCCTGTTGACAGCTCTCCAGACATCCAAGATCCACTCACCAAGCACATCCAGCCTACAGAACGCAGGCTGTTTGTAAAGGGAAAACAAAAACTACCCACAGCCCTCCAGAATCAAAACAGATGTCATTAATGCATTTTATCAGTGGTTTCAAATGTCAGTGACTGCTGATATTTATGAAGTGAGTGTAAATGGCTTGGTATCTAATGAAATAACCATAAATTTGAGTGATAAGAGCACATCTATGTTGAATGAAAACGCTTGAAGGTGGATTTTCATCTTGGTTGTGCACGCTGAAATCTAAGGTAGTCAAAGAGAATTATGTCATATGAAGAGCATTAATTTAGAGAGAGAACAGTCTGAAAAAATGTGAAATAAATGTCACTAGTGCTGTGTTCCTGCACTATGGTACCCTACAGGTTGGGAATCAAAAGGTTTGGCAGATTAGGCACTGGACTAATTGAGCCAAGATTTCAAATGTTCTTGGGCTAAAATTAGAGACTTAAACTTAACCAATATGATTAAGGAATGAAATCTGAAAGAAAATATGTATGACAATCAATTAATAACTAATATAATTATTTCTTCAATTACAGTGAGAATGGTTGATACAGGCAAGGCAGAAGTGGGAGGCAGATGCAACACTAGAGGAAGAAGAAAAAACAGAACTCATTTGCCAATTGTAGGCAAGAAATCCCACAAAATGTTTAAAAATGAGGGTGATTTTCCTGTGCTTGATCAAATGTAAAAAATGATGTTAAAAAAGCCCGATGTAATTTAAAAAGCTTTTTGATGTGATTTTGAAACTCTGATCTGATAGCATTTCCTTCACTGGCAGGATAGATATTGCTATTTCATAGTAAATGGAGTGCAATTAGTAACTTTCCACAGCTGAAGACAGAAGTCAGCAGTAACTTTGAGGCTTTCTCGATCTTAGCTGCATCTGGAACAATATTCTCATGTGTAGTATCCCACTGGTGCAAAATTCCTCATGGGTCTGCTTCACAAAGTAACTGGTTTTTGCACTTGCTGCTGTGTTTCACATCATCTTTGGCAAGGATCACTTGGGGTTTTCCCTTGCTCAGTAGCCTGGGGAATGGCCTATTTCCTAGGAAAACATCTGGGAATTTCATCTGAAAAGCTCTTCTTATGGCTTGGGACCTGACCACGCCCGTGATCTTTCCTGGTCTCCCAATGGGGATTTGAAGAGCATTTTTTACCCATTGTAATTAGGTTAAAGACAGATTCTGCAAACCTTTCTGGGCTGAATATCTATTACATGGTTTTAAGTAGACCTTACAACCATTTGCAGTCATAACCATTCAGTTTATCATGAGCTGTACTAATACTCACCATGAATTAATCTATATAAATCAAGTAAACGTCGATTTATAAAATTTTCAGGGTTGTTCCTTCTATGGAAAAGCCATTATGCAGTTAATATGTTCTAAGATTGATAATTGGCTTTATGATTTGCAGACTGCTTTTCCTCTCAGCTTTATCCTCAGCTCAGAGCTAGTGTAAGACTCTACTACCCATCCATTTATTGTTTTCTTTAAACATCTCACCAATATGATTCATAGTTTGGGGACCAGAGATATTCCTGCCTTGTCTCATACCCGCATTTTCTCTGTTGTGTGGCTGATTCACAGTGTTATACAACATGAGATACAGGGGTTTGTGTTGACTGACTCTCAGATAGCTGCTCTAACATATTTGGTTCAGACTTATCCATCTACCAGTCTGTGCATGATATGGCATCTGCGCCCATGAATTCAGTTATTCTTTGATTTATAACACAGCCCTGTAATAAATTATCTCAGCACAGTTGGAGTGCATTGAACTGCAGATTAAGAGCTGGAATGAGTGGAGAATGCAGGGACTTCATAAACCAGAGTTATGGAATCAAAACTGATTTTTGGTTTTGATTCTATAACAGAAGCTAACAGAAAGTTATCTTAATCGCTAACTTTATAACATGCTTCAGCAAATTTTTTTCTAACTTCACTGATTTCATATAATTAGTCTAATATGTGTTCTGTATTCTAAATAAACATCCTGCAACTACAGAAACTGCTGTAGAAAGCAAACTAAGTCCAGTACGTTGATGTGTTTATTATTTCTATTAATATTTTTTTTCACTGAGATCTTTGTAAAAGGCTATCTTCATGTTGATGTAGGTCCTCAGCCTTTGACCTCAGGCAGATAGACTAAGGCAGAGGCAGTGAATGTACTGCAGCCTCATGTCTTCCCTCAGGGAGAGTTACTTTAGCCACTGGTAATGTATTGTTCTGCAGCATGTGTTTGGTACTGTCTTAAAGGATTAGACACTGAGCTTCATCTTTTCCCTTAATGGGAACAGTAGCAGTGCGTGGCCTTGGTGGCACAGCAAGAAGGAGGAAATAAATATTTGCAGAGCTAAGTGGAGATTAGAGGAGAGGTGTAACCGTGCCAGCAGTCAGAGCCCCTAAACTACAAGAGAAGGTTACGAACCCAGAAGGAGCTAAAGAGCTGATCAGGAGCCTGAAGCACAGAGAATGACAAAAAATACCACTCTGAGGGGCTGATCTCAAAGAGCATGTGTTGAGTTGTTCACAACATGGTTGCAAAGCTGATAATGTGCATCATTGCTCAAAGCTTAGTTTACAGAGGATGCTCAGCAGGACAGTTGGATTCCTGCAGGAAGAATAGATTGATAATGGGAAGCATAGCATGACTACTGTCAATAAAGATCAATTAAAGACAAAAACAGATTTAAAAATCCCCTCTTTTAAGCAAGAGACCTTTGGAATAAAAAAGGATAGACTTCAGTCAAAGAAGAATGATGGGACAAGAGATTCTACACATTCCATTTCATCTCACAGGCTTCAGTTCAGCAGTTTGGCAATTAATTAAGGTGATATGTATTTCTTGATAATTATTAAAATTATTGTCAGAAATAATTTCAGTTCTAGGTTTATGAAGAGGCTGCAATGTGATGAGGGTGCTTAAGCTTTGTTGATTCTGCAGTACTTTTTAAATTTAACTCTCAGAGTTGAATTAATTTGTGTCAGAAGGTGGATTCTGGAAGGCACTCATTAAAAGTGAGTCAGAAATAATTTCTGTTTGTTTTTCTCAAATATACCTTATGAAAAAAATTAATTTTAGTAAATTTAGCAGTGTCTCTGCAGAAAATCAAATGGATTGACAGTTTAAATTGTTAAATTTTTTAAAAGGTCAGAAACTATAGCTCTTAGAGACAAACCTAGTCTAGAAAGCTTTTATTAACATTGCCCAAATATATTGTGTGTAACTAGTGAAACTAAAAGACTGCATTTACCAAGTTTTAGAAGTTGCTCAGTGATTTTGACTAAGTAAATTTCCTGTCAGTAATTCCAGGAGTTGCTGATTAAGGGAAGCTGTTGTAATGGCCCTTTGCAGGATTTTCTCTGTCATATTTAACCTAACCACGTCTGAGAGAGCTAAGAAAATAAAGAAGTCCAGACAGACTGTGCAGTTACATACAACATCTCAGTGAAGGTAGTGATCTTATTTAATCCAGGTCATTCTATCCATCATCATGGTCACTAAAGAACCAAATAAATGCTGTGTCTCCTGTCTGAAATTCTCTTTTTCTACTGTCATGGCTGGGCTTTGCGAACGAAGATTTGGGAAGGGCTCTATCCACATTTGTTACAAGCACACTGGTGGCTAATGAGGCCAATACGAGATAGACATATCTGATTGCAAAAGGCACAGCAGAAAGACTCCTTAGGTGGTAAATTCTGCAAGGCACGATTCTTTCTGTGTTGTCTTTTCTCCTCGAGAGTGACCCTGCGAGTGTTCTCAAAGGCATCAGCAGCGTTATAGATGGTGTGAGTCCAGACCTCCCGATTGGAGGCCAGAGTAGACCAGTTCTGTTGATCAATATGGCCAAGGCTGAGATGTTGTTTCAGAGAGTCCTTGTATCTTCTCTTTGGGGCTCCTCTCTTGTGGCAGCCGGAGGCAAGTTCACCATAAAGCAAGATCTTAGGGAGGGGGTCCTTCATCCTGGAGACGTGCCCTGCCCAGCACAGCTGTGTTCTCAGCAACATGGCCTCAATACTTGTGACAGCTGCTTGTTCTAGAACAGATGTATTGGTCACATAATCTGACCAGTGGATGTTTAGAATTGCACAAGGCAGCGTTGATGGAAGCGTTCTAGGAGACGCAGGTGGTGGCAGTAGATGACCCATGATTCAGATCCATATAAGAGAGTAGACAGCACTATGGCTCTGTAAACACTGATCTTGGTGCTTTTCTTCAAGTGTTTATTACGCCATACTCTTTTATGGAGTTTTCCAAAAGCACTATATGCCTTTGCTAACCTGTTGTCTATCTCCCTGTCAATCTCGCCATCCGAGGAGATGAGGCTGCCCAGGTAATTAAACTGTTGGACTGATTTGAGCTCTGATTCACCAATGGTGACATGGGGATGATGGAAGACTTCCTGAGGTGCAGGTTGATAGAGAACTTCTGTCTTCTTTAAGCTGACTTCCGGCCCAAAGAGCTCAGCAGCCTCAGCAAAGCAGGATGTTAAACGCTGCAGAGCTGCTTCTGTGTGGGCGACAAGGGCGGCGTCATCAGCATAGAGCAGCTCCCGGACAAGATGGTTTAAGGTCTTGGTGTGGGCCTTCAGTCGCCTTAGGTTGAAAAGGCTTCCATCAGTACGGTATCGGATGTTACCTCATATTTTCCCACACACCACTTACCTGCCCACCCACCAGTCCGAGGACCCCCATGGCCCACCTGGTACCCTTCCCCTCCCACCCCCCCCCCAAACCAGACCAGCAAACCTCTGTGTGCTCCGAGGCTTCCACTTTCCTTTCTCACGAGGGCACAAAGCCACGCCGGCAAAGTTCCCTCTCTCCTTTCCCCTTCCAGGGATGAGGGGAGGGTGGCCCCACATGGGCCTGGGGTCGCCCCCGCGGCTGCCGCGCGGCTTCCGGGGGGGAGGCCTTTTCTACTGTAGCACTTAGAGAAATACACCCGAAACTTAAAAAAAAACCAGAGTAAGAGAATGAGTTCTGATGGTCTCTCACCCTTAAGCTGACAAGCATTTATCTTGGACAGGCCTCACTCAGGTAATTAGCTTAATAAAAACAACCCTTATGAAAACCCTGTGTCGGTGCTGTTCAGCTGTAGCGCTGCTGTGTCTCCCAAAGAAACACACAGAACAAGCTAATAAATGCTGCTGTAGGGTCTGAAACTGGCCACTTGGGTTTGCCTTCATCAAGAAACTAGTAAACACTCATGTTCCTTTGATCCTACCATTATGTGATAGTGGTGAAGGATAGGAAACATTTCAGTCGTGTTCTTGGAAACCTGCAGTCCCGAACAGCTGGGTTTTGATCTTCCTTGTTTGTAATCCTCAAACTCAAAAGGGTTATAGTTTCATGGGTACTTGTTGTACCTCTGAGTGTGGGTATGGAAGCTGCCTGCTATGTATTTAATTATTACTGCTTTTTTTGCATCTACTTTGGATTTAAATGCTAGAGATTAATAATTATTTTAATTAAAAAAAACAAACAAACAAACAAAAACAGTGTAGGAAAGAAAAACAACTTCTGAAAGTACTTTAATTCATAAAACAAAAACGTGCTTCGAAATAAAAAATGTTTTATTACAGCATGAAGAGTCCAGATTCCAGATGCCTTTCTCTGTTGTTCTTTGAAATCTTTACTGAGAATAAAAGGCTGTGGGGATTTCACTGACTAATGGTGCACTGCAGCCGGTTTCATGGCCGTGTGTGCTGAGGGATTGGTGGCCTGCAGAATAGTTGTTGTTGTCATGGAAGAAAAAAGTGTGTAGTTTTAACAAATTAAAAATATAGAACGGAGTGGTGCAATGAAAAGGAAAACGGCACCCAGAGCTTGTCAAATATTCTGGTT